ACCCGGACATACGGCCGCCCAGTTTTACGAAAAAATTTTCAAATTACGTATTTTCGAGTCCCGACGTTAGTGATTGCGCTGTGTGTACTGACAAAATTTTCGTTTGTAATTCCCTTTAAAATGGCTGGCATGCTTAAAAGTGAGAGTTTTATGGTGCTGAGAAGAAAAAGAGACGCCCATTTTAGATTTTCTATGTATTATCATCGCATTTCGACTTACAACCTGGATTTGGGTCCCTAACCCCGTTGTAAGTCGAGGAGTGGCTGTATATGCAGCAAGCACTCCCTGCAGTCGAATTGAGAGTTGGACGGTATTGTTACTGCGGTATTGTTACTGCTGCCTCACGCCACTGGACGTTCCCCTGTGCCGATTGAGAGTCTACCCAGATGCACCTCAGCCCATCTCATACAATCAACAAAACATTGTTTTTTGTAGTATTATGCTGAAACAAACCCTCATAAATCAACACGGCTAAAATTGAGGGACGCAAAATGGTCTGTTTACTAGCGATCAAAAATATATTTTCACTCAACTTTAGTTAGGCAATTCATCCTCTGAAGCAGAGCCCAACTCGACCAGCTCATCATCCACAACACTGTCTAGTGGTGTGGCTATGGACGCATGTGACACGCAGGAAGCACTGGATGACGGCCGTGTCTGCCCAGATGTAGATGGGCCAGCTACCTCAGGAGCTGAAGGAATGGAAAACATTCATTAAATTATTGAATTTCTCCCACATAATTATTACATATCGTACACCCAAAATTTAATGTCTATTTTTCAAGCAATAAACACTCAGTTTCATTACACACTCACCTGATGAGGATAATGAACGTAAGAATGGGGTGATTTTTTTCTATTGCTGGGCCATAACCATCTGATCTAGCAGCTGAGAGTACGTAGATGCAGCCCGATTCAACTCCTCCACCACTTGCATACTGCATTCTATATCAGGGTCATGGTGCAGTGCAGACTGGGTGGCAGAAGTGATGTGCTGCATGAACTCCCTCAGCTTAGGAATTGTCAGTTCCTTCCTCGCTGATTGGGGCTTATCTGTTGCTTCCTCTTCTTCCTTGTGTTTCTTCGCCATCTCCAAGACTTCTTCAGAAGTGAGAAACTCCTCCATGCTGACAAGCAGTTTAGTCACATCCTCTTCTTGAAACCCTGAATCACCTCTCACTTCCTTAATGAGTTTCAGAATGTCTTTCACGTCCTCGCCTTCATCAAAGCCCTTGAGGCCACAGATTACGCCACACTCCATTTAGTTCGGTTTCTGGGACACTTTTCCACGCAGGTGTGATACTAGTTATGGCATCTTTGATGGTGTAGCTCTTCCAAAACGTTGCTGCAATCATAATGTTGTCCTTGTTCATAGCTTCAGCCATTTGCTTCATGGTAAACTTGAAATAATATCTCTTGAACAAGACAATATAACCTTGATCTAGTGGCTGAATAAGTGAAGTCACGTTCGGAGGGAAGAAGGTCAAGTTTACGTCCTTATTCACACTGCACAGGTGTTCGGAGTGGCAAGATGCCTTGTCCATGAGAACCAAGGCCTTGTTGCTAAGGTTTTTTTTTTTTTTTACATTTTGGATGAATGGGTTGGCATGGCTGATGTACAGTGAGTTCTGCTATAACGCGTGTTTTGACAACGCGAATTGGCTCTAACGCGATTGATGAATAGAGGAACAATATTTGTAAAACGCGAACGCGTTTGCTCTAACGCGATTCCACTCGAACGGTTGTTGTGGCTTGGCGTGGGGTTATGCAGTGTTTACAGTTCACGTTCGACATCACATGTTCAATTGATTTGTGTGTTTTGTTTGTGAAGAATTGCAGAAATAATTTATGTAATATTTATGTATACAGTATACCTGTACAGTACAGCATATGTAAATTGTAAAATTTTAAATAAGAGAGAAAAACAAAATACGTAGCGTTTTAGACCTGCGCGCTGTGTTTACATCACACGTTCAGTCTGAAACACGTGTGAAGTTTTTAAGCGTCCTCAGTGATTTCTGACTATTGTTTCTCCAATTTTGTGACTATGGAAAAGAAGAATATCTCCGGGAAGCGTTCTGGTGATCGTAAAAGAAAGGCTATAACACTTGAAGAAAAGCTTGATGTTGTCAATCGTTTTGAAAATAAAGAAAGAACATGTGATATTGTGCGTGCAACGGGAATAAAGGAATCTACTTTACGCACCATTAGAGACAATGCAGCAAAAATTAAAGCAAGCTGTATGCTGGAAAAACCTTGAGTGCTAGCAAAAGTGTGAGATCACGGCCAAAGGAACTTGAGGAGATGGAATGGCTTCTTAGTGTTTGGATAGAAGATCAAACGAAAAGGCGATCTGGGACTAGCTTCCTCACCATTAAAGAGAAAGCCTTATCAATATATGAGGACCTAAAGAAAACTGCACCTGATGATGATGATACTGATGATGACAACTGTCAACTCCTGTCTGCATGACTCTTCAACACCACCCTTCTCCCCCATCAAGTTATATTCATATTTTTTCAAGGTAAAGTGTAACATTTACTGTATGATTTCATTATTAGATATGAATGTAACATTTATTTAGACTGCTTACCTTTGTGTTAGGCTAACTACGAAATTTTTTTCAATTTCGAGTAATCTGCACCTAACCCTATTTTCTCCATAAGCCCTGTTATTTCTATTACGCGAATTTCTATAACACGATGTTTTACAAGAACAAAACTATCGCGTTATAGCAGAACTGACTGTACCACTCATCGAAAATATCAGAAGTCATCCACGCCTTCTTGTTTGGAAGTATAGGGATGAGTACATTTTTGAAGGCACGAGGTCTAGCCGAGTGGTGGATGATGAGTGGCTTCATTTGCGCTGTGCCTGATGCGTTGGCCATGAGGAGAATCGTCAGTCTGTCCTTGAACCCTGGTGCCTTTTCTTCACTATTCATTAGATAAGTTTTCTTTGGCATTCTTTTCCAATACTGCCCAGTTTCATCACAGTTCCACACTTGGCAAAGAGAATAACCATTTTTTCCACTATATACTTTAGAACTTTCTTCATATCCTCAACCGCCTCCGTGTCGGCAGATGCAGCTTCACCTGAAAGCGTCACATTCCGCAGCCCCATCCTTTTGATAAATTTGTACAGCCAGCCTGTATTTGCTGTGAACTTGCTGTCTTTGATGGACTTCCCTTCCTTTTTAAGTATCCGAGACTATTTCGTAGGCTTGGTTTTACATCATGGGGCCAGTGAGAGGAAATTTTCAGCGCTGCATGTCTTCTTCTCATAACTTAGTGCATCTTCCATCTCAACATACACAACAGACTTCAGGTAGAGTTTACCCTTGGAAACATCTGGTGAAGCATAGGCTGCTCTAATTTTTTTCTCGCTGAGCTTGATAGTGCGGACAGAGCTCTCCGACAGTCCAAATTGGCGCCCCACACTTGAAGCACCACTTACACGCTGCAGTGCTTCCAGCACCTTGTTTTTCTGCTCCAGTGTAATTGCTTGCCTTGATTTCTTGGTCTTTGGGATAGTTAATGATGTAGTAGCTGGCCTCTTGGGCATAGTCGCGATGGTTGATGCATGTGGTAGAAGGAGATAGTGTCCTACACTATGTCCGTTCAGGAGAGCGTCAGTGCGAGAGCTGAGGATGCGGGAGGGTGGCGGGCAGCCTTGTAGCGTGTCCAGAGAGGTGTCTGGCAGGAAACATTAAGCGCAAAACTTAAAATAGTGTGTATTTCCATATGACACGCCAGCTTTAACTCGCGTAAAATAGGAAAGATTCGCTTTAAATTGATACGGTGTCCTTAATTGTGGGTGTCGCTTTAAATCAGTAATTTTATATCGATTTGCTTTAAATTGACATTCTACTGTATCAAATTCATCTCTCTAGCACAATTAGAACAGATGCTGTTTGCTAGGGTTCCAAGGTGGCGGAGTAAGGGAGGGACAGACAGACACGACCCCCCCATTACTACATTGTTGGGGGGCAAGAGTTGCATCTTTCTCTCCCTCCCACACACTGCTACCTCCCACTCATTTCTCTAACACAATTAGAGCAGATGTTGTGAATAAAAGTTTATACACTTTTTTGTTAACCATAAATATATTTCCTACTTAGTTTTTGTTCAAGACTGTTCGTCATGAACCCACTAATCCTCCCTCCTGACAATGGGTGACCTGACATTGCAGGAGACCACTAATCTTCCACCACACCTCCACCTGATATTGATCAGGTCAGGTCAGTAACATGCGACCCACTAATCCCCTCCCACACCTCCATCACAACATTTCTTACATGTTTTTTTGTTTGTTTGTTTTTCTTAAAAGAATTGAGTCCCCATCATTATTATCCTGTGTTTGTGACTGAAGTGAGTAGTGTAACTTTGAAAATGTTTGGGAAGGCACCTAGGAAAATCATGTCTCTGGAGGTGAAGCAGTATAAGACTCCCCAGAGGCTGTTTGGGAGTCAGAGTGACGTCTCCACATTCAAGAGTCCTCTTAGCCTCGAAGGGGACATGTAATGATGACCAGGCTTGTTCTTAATTATGTGGTGAGTGTTGTAGCGCTAATAGTAGTCTAGGATTGACAATATTTCAACTTAAGATTGAGTTTTCAGAAACCTAAAACTCATCCCAAATAGAGGCTTACCTGTACTACTTCACACTGAGGGTTGTGTACCTATGGAACAATCTACCATAAGCTGTGAATTTGTAAAATAACATACAGCTTTTGTTTCTCTAATTATTTGGTGACTAAACCTCTCGGATGTTTTCAATATATGATTTTTATTGTTATTTCACAAATATACCCTTATTCATCAACAGCTACAGTACAAATTGCACCTATATGCCAGAGGCAAACTGTGTGGGATTTGGGAACAGTATTCATAATGTCTGCTTACACATCTTATTTGCAAAAATTCCTCAATCTCACAATACAGTAACTAGTGTTTGATATTAAGGTGAAATTGCAATAGCCGTGACTAATAAAAAAAATTAAACGAGTTAAAAATTTAATATTCTGGTACAGTATACTATCTTATATGTGTGTGCATGTACTTTGTATAAGACACTCATCCACACACTGATAAACATAGTAAAATGATAGACATTACATTATATACATTATCTTCCCCAGCAAGTTTTGACCAATATTTCTAAATAAATATTGGTAGGCAGTACTAGACACATTTAGAAGATATACACAACTTATCTACATTATTATTATTAGGTAGGCACGTGACTTTTGAGTCTGAGATATTCCTTGTAAAAATATACAGAATAATATTTACAGAAGCAAGATATGTTGGGAAAAAGTCCATATTCATTTTGAAATTAAAGGACATGCCAGGAAACCATGATAGCAAGAAACCGAAGAAGTGAACTTGGCCTATAATATCTAAATTTCCTACAAGTAGGTTTTCCAAGGAACTGGAGTATAATATCAAACAAAACTAGAATTTGAACACAAAAAATAATTAATGGAACTAAGTACTAAAAGGTAAATACTAGTGTGTATTAGTATACTAAACTGTAGTCCTAAGCAACCACATTCAACATTTGAAAGGAATTATTTATTTTCTTCCTTCAATATGAGGGAGTAACACATCTAAAGTGTCCTGTATAACGGGTTGATTTAAAGATGTTTTATGTTGCAACTGAGCTTTCATGCTTTACGAACACAAAACATTTACTGTACATTAAATGTCAGAGCAATGTTCCATTTCAGGTTGTGTTAAATTTGGCAGAGATTCATGATTATGCCCTCCATTAAATTTCTCTGGGAATGAAACTTATGGGTATTTGTCTGAAATACCGTAAACAAACTTGAATATGCGGTTTGGATTCTCAAGGGGAAAATCTTGCAACAGAAAATATAACGATCTATTATTTTATTTATTTTAATTTTTTCCTGAAATATCTAAGTTTTATTTTGTGTACTCCATATAGACAAGTATAATTAGATGTCTTATGTTTGGATGCTATAGTCATATACTGTACAGTACTTATAAAAATTAGTGTACAGTAGGTTGGTTTTAGGGAATTTATTGCTCCGCCTAGAGTTTTTAGGCTGCATATTAATCCTTTTGCTGCAGAAAGCACTCCTGTGCACTTGACAAAATAGCTCCCTTGTCTGCACAAACTGCATTTTTGAAAAGTCCACCAAAAACTGTATTAAACAGGCTGCACTGTTCCACAGCTTATGGAAAACATTTTACATGTAAAATTATTTATATTAATGCTATTATTTTGTTACAATGCAAAAATTTGGTGTTTGGAATACTTTTGGCACCATTGAGTCTCATAGGTCAGAATATATTCACATCTCAACAATTATAAAATATGAAATTATTGATATTACTTTATAATAGACAAACTTTCCTGATAATTAATGTACAGTATTCAAACAAATTTTGTGTCGGGCATGAAAGCCAAAGACCTCTTTCACACGACCATTTTTCTGTCAAACAACTTGGAAATCAATGGACACCCGTGTGAAAGGTTCCATTGAACTCTAGTGATGTCACATGACAAAAAAATTCTTATTTGAAAGAGGCTTTAAGGTTTTTTACAAGAAAAGTCATTAAAAGGTTCATATGAACACTCATTTAATGATGGCAAAGTGATACTTATTGGGAACCAACCTTGAAACTTTATGATACAGTGAAAGGGTTAATGAGCTCATGGGCTCCCTTTTGTTTTTTGTGAAGTTTTGTCTTTCATGCTAAATGTCATGGTCAGTACAGTTCTTGGTCATTACTATGAAAAAGTGATGTGCAATAACTCGCAATATTCTGTGAGGGGGAGCAGAAATTATGTGAATACACACTTGCACAAGGATCCCAGGAATGTAACCTCCAAGTACTCTGACACCCTACTGTATTGTATAAGAGAATCTTGTCACTTGTCACGTGATCTTTTTTGTAGTATTTTTTCTTCCTATTCTCAGATCCTTGACTTTGTAATATTTTGAGCACTAGTAAATTCTTTAGAAGTACTGGTGCTTTTGAGAAACAAAAGATCAGCTATTATTATATTCTCTGTAAATGTCAATTTTCTTCTAATCAACAAAATATTAACCAACCTATTTTTACTCTTCATTACTAACAATTAAAATAACCATTGCCTGACTTATATATATTTCTTTGTTACTAATGTCAGCATATTATCTAATGTGGCTTGGGAATATGGCCATCCACATAAAAGTTGCGTGTAGCTTGGGGTAATGTGAGTGTCATGCCATCATGTTCTTTGGTCAGGATAATCTGGCAACCTGAAAAGTACAGTTTTAAGAATCACAAAATATAATTGTTATGGTACTGTGGTGGCATGGAAATTTGAATAAGGTTTTGTACTCATTAAAATATGTGTGAAATAAATGGAAGTAGTTATAAAAGAAGCCATTGGAAAGAGGGCTAGGATGACCTAAGAAAAATGTTCATGAGAGGGGTACAGAGATCAATGTCTGGAGATGTGCCAAGACTGCACTGTCTAGATAAGATCTTTTATGATACAAAGATGTACAAATTCAACTCAAGTAGGATTAAGGCAATTTATTCATTTCTTACCAAGCCTTGAATTATTCTTCAAAAAGACTGCCAAGTCAAGCATATCTTCCTCCTCTTCAAGTGGTTCAGGCAATGTATCACAGTAGTCCTCATCAACATACACATGACAGGTACTACATGCTAGAGAAGCTTCACATGCACCTGTTGAAAAACAAGGAGGATAGTACAGAAGAAATTTTTTATATAAGGAAAATATTCAGATTATATACTGTATGTACTGTAATATGTATTCCTCCCACAGAGAAACATAAGATTTTTGCTATATCTTTCTTTCTCTTCAGGAACATACAGCTAAGAATTATTTCTCCTTCTCTTAACATTACATTAAAATCTTTGTCATGCATTTAGGTCACCTGTTTATGTATAGACCTAATTAGGTTATCATACGTAAAGTTTAAAAATAAAGTAAAAACTGGGCACTGTAAAACCCCATCTCGCTGAGAACTGTACAATATGAGGCCTAGCACTTTGCTCCATTACAACAAATTAAGGCAGCAGATGAATACATTTTCTCTTTACAGAGATTGCAACTAGGAAGTTAGTTAACATTTGGGTTAGTCCAAGTCTCCAAGTTAAAGTTTCCTTGAATCCATACTCGCAGGCCTTGGCAAGATTTGTAACAAAGTCATTCTGAACTGACTGCAGATTATAAATATTTATTTAACCAAGATGAGAGATAGAGCCCTATTGCCAGGTATATATTGTATATGTTGGGCTCAGAAACCGAAAACCGACCTGACCCAATCCAAACTTACCTAACCTAATCTATAGCAAAATTTCGCTTTTGGTTGCTGAGCCCAAAATATATATAAATTCAAGTGCAAATTGTAAGGCCAAGCTATTACTATGGAAGTCACGAAAACCCATAGCCATGGGAAAAATTTCAGCATTACATGACGACCACTAACAGAAATCCTCAAGGATTATTTATTACCAATCAAAACCTTGCACAGTGAATGCAGAAGATTATTTCCTCTTTGAAGATTCTCAACCACTGAAAATATTAACCAACAGTGTGGCACTCTATACCAAACCATGAGAAAATAAAGAACAATAAAGTAAAAGTACAACATTCATTCATTCTTGAATGATCCACTGAAAGATACTGGTAGTATACTGCCCTGCCTTGCTAGACTGGGAGACACTTGTTATTTTGGCAACTCATTAGGAACAGCGGGGGCAGGAGTATGAACTTGCTTTTATATTTGAAAGGGATCAAATCATGTGAGATACATATAAATTTCAGCTAATGTCCTGAAGCCTCACTGACCTTTCAGTCAATAATGGATCAAATGGAACAATCTTTGGCCCTTGTACAGCTAGATAAGAGCTGCTGCTTGCATCAGACACATAATTTTACCTTGGCCATCTGCATATACAGTACTGTATCTTGCTGTTGACTTGTGAAGACCCTCTGGCAAGAAGTGGGCTCTGCCAGGGGAATGTTTAATGGTATGGATCTTACAGGTCACTTGTTGCTGACTCATTGATCATAATATATTTGACACTTATCATTGACTAAATTTTTTTAAATGAACCTTCATGATTCCATATAATATAGTATATAAAAAATGCAAACGACACACACAAAAATAAATGGCATTACTTACCTTCCAATTCAATTTCATAGCGGTGTGCAAGATATAAGACGTTATCGCCTATCTTCCCTCGTACAGGGATCTTTTTACCACTTCGATCTATATATGTTATGTTAACCCTGAAAATGCGAGCATATGATTGAGGTTATATTTTTAAGAAAGTATATACTGTACAGTATAACATACAATACATACACAGGTGTCAAGAAAATTAAAACATACCAATAACACTGAGAAACTTTAACCATTACTGTATAGTACACGGTTCAAAACCACAAAACGAATTACAGTAGGTGCTATTATTTTTTACTAGTGTACAGTAAAGGTACAATTACCTGAATTACAAATATTTTAACTAAATATACCAATTATCTGAGTTTTTTTTACATATAGTACTGTATTTTGTAGCAGAATGATACAAAATCTCGGAGACTTGATAAAAACAGCCCAAAAACATTTAAGAGTGGAGGATTGTAGTTACCAACCCTCAGATATGGGAATGGTATTCTGATTGAGTGGTTGATGTTAGGGTAGATTAAATTTAGTTCATCGGAAGTAAGAAAATTTTTAAAAATACATTCCATTGTTACTGTGTTTTGCCATTTAAGCCATCAATTTACAGTGCAGTTTTTGCAAAATTAACCAATCTCGTTTGGACATACTGATATACAGTACAGTACAGATCTGTATGCATTACTACAGTACAGTGAATACCCTGTATTAACATAAATCTAAATAAATAATAGGAAATGAAAATGAAAGCTCGATTTGAAAGTCGCATTTTAAAACCATGTCAGGATTGACAAATCTATACAGTATATACCCTGTATTCAGGAAATTTTGAGGTTGTAACTCCATGGTTCTGGGCCTCAACTAGTGCTGGGATCTTAAACCAAAAAATTTGATTATCAAATCATCCTTCATAATTATCAGGGAACACTTACAGGAAAAACAGATAGTAACTGAAAGAACAGTGTGTTATACATAAAAAATGAAAAAAAAGTCTTGCTACAGATATTTGAGAAGTTGTTACACTGTATGTCCTATGTTATATGAGGGCATTAGTATAAAAGATCAAGATATATACTGTATAGACACACTTGCTTGATCATTTTCTTCTACTTACACCTCATCTTCTGATTTTGGATCTTGCCATTCATAATCTCCATGCTGGAGAGCTAAAGAGAGAGTGAGAAAAAAGAATAAGTACATAATAAAAATTAATTAAATGATAGCTAAAGGTAGTAATACTGTATATAGGTATACAAGCATCTATGAAGGCACCTTTTGATTTATGCATGTTTGTTTTATGGCATTTTCAGAATAATGCAAGCTGTCCATTTACCTTTTTTTTTTAATTTACTTGGGCTTATGTTTGGAATAACATGACCATCAACAAACATCATCGGGCTGGCAGCATGGTAGTGTGGCATTGCCAGGGCCGTACGAGAGCCATGTGTGTGCATGGCTTAGGTTAGGAGTTCTCGGTGCGTGGATACAGTCTACAGTCCCAGAGTGCTACAGTATTTTGTGCTACTGTATATTGCACTTGTTTTGCCCCTTGCATCATGCCACCAAAGCATTCTCTAAGTTCTCCTGGTACCAGTGGTCCTAAGAAATATAAGGCCATCACCACTGAGATTATGATGGACGTGCTCAAACGTTATGAGAGATGAACCAATAGCTGATATTACGCACTAGCAAGCAATTCAGGAACAACATTAAATGTAAGTGTTGGAATTAAGTTTGTTATTTTTTGCCTTTAATTACGGTACGTACTAGAATTCATTGTACAGTATGTGTATTATAGTACTTTATATTTCCGGGAACATGTGTATTGTAGTTTTTCACTAGTATAATACCGAGTACAGTACTAGCTTATTAATACAGTGACCCCTCCGTTAACGAACTCAATCCGTTCCAGAAGGTCGTTTGTTAACCGAAAAGTTCGTTAACCGAAACCATTGTTTCAATGGGTTTTTGGGTAATTGGTTCCAGCTCACCGAAAATTTCCTAAATTCAACAAAAATGGTAGAAAAGTTCACTTACTTTGAGGTGTGTATGTAGAAAGCTCCTGGATGATGATGATGATGATGATGATGATGATGGGATTTAGAATGGGGGTGGAGGAGAAGGAAGAAGAGAAGGCACTGGAGGGAAGAGAAGTCACCCCATGGTGCCATTTCACCCATAAAATTTTAGCTCTTGGTGTAATTCAAGATTATTTTTTAAATCAACACTGCACTGCATTATATATTGTCAATATGTAAAATATATTTCAAAATGACCAATAATTTGCTTGGAAACACAGAAAAAAAGCGTTTAGTTGAAGAGAGTCTCAAGCAAGATGTTACCTCCAGTGAAAACAGAGAGAGACTAACTCCTGTTTGCTGTGTTAAGAGGCTGGATGCCGCGCATTAAACTAGTCACTTTACCTTCAATTATGTTCAATAATTGTTAAAATGACTAAAAATTGAATATTAAACTTTAAAATTATTGAATAGTATAAACTTCTTGATATTTACTAAAATAGGGAATTTAAGCCCTAGAACCGATTAATGTATTGGCGGACTGATACTAAAGCTGGTTGCCCGGTCAGTGCAAGCGAAAACATGTTGAGGTCGGTTCGTAAGAACTTCGTTAACCGAATTTTTTTTCGTTAACCGAATTGAAGATCCTTATGGAATGCAGTTCGTTAATCGAAATTACGTTAACCGAGGTGTTCGTTAAACGAGGGGTCACTGTACAGCTAATAACAAAACCTGACTGACTTTTGATATTGGGTTTTTATTGTGTAAATCATCGAGTTAAATACAAATATGACCTTCATTGCAGTCAGAAATGAGCAGTAGTTGAGATATTGAAAAAAACGTGGAAGGTCAAACAATGTTAAAACAAAAAACTAACCTAACCCCCTATGTATAAGAAACTTACCTAAAGTAAGAGATACGGGAGGATAGAGTGATGCGACATGAATGAGGAAGTGGTGTCTTTGTCAGTGTCCGTCTCTACCACAGTAGCGATCTACACGGTACTAACACACTGAATTACATCTTGGACACTTTACAGATGAAACAAGTATACACCATGAGCCCTAAAAATGACAATGGCTGCTGCTGCTTCATTGTCCAAAATGTGCTGAATAATGCAGCAGCCAGCCAATGTACATCCATCTCACATAGACACCATCTTCCACTGGGAGAGAATGGAGACTAGTACTGATTAGCGCACACGTATTAAATTGGCACTCGCGTCTCATCACATCAACACTCGCGCTGATTGCCTAAATATAAAATAAAATTTAAAATAACTCAAAAACTATAAATTTCCGACGGAAACGTTAAATAATTTTTTTTTCTCTATCTCCACATACATGATTCAATATTCAGTTAGGTGGTGGCAACTACTAAATATTAACCTGTTTGATTTATAAGAAAGAAATCATCACGTAAATCATGGTGTATATTATACTTAAACTACAGATATCTTTCTAGAAGATCCTAAACATTAGTTCATAACCAATGCACATAAATATTTAACAAATAGATTGAAACTACAGTACAGGTAAATGGCCTAACATAATCTCATCTTGTAGCACCATTTTCACTTGGTTGCAAAATGCACTGAAATACTAATTTAAGGCAAAAAATATAATATTAAACTTTTCTTGAAACTTCACTCAAGTGATTTGATAATGCCATATCTTCATCAATAGCTTGGAACAATACTCGATATTGTTTGTCAAATTTGAAGCTCAATACTGTACTGTACATAGCAAAAAGCCAGTACTGTACATGTACTTTTCAACGTGACCAACAGGCCGATCACTGAGGAAGTGGATAAAGTAAAGTAAAATCCTATTAGCACTGACCTGTTGTAGTCATAATACATCTAAGCAAAGGTTTCTTTTGAACTTGGTGAAGGACTTTGTAACTTCTGTTTGTAGTATAGTCATGGGTAATATTTCTCAAGATGTACCAACTGTTACGGAGCCACACACGGCCAGCCATCGCCTATACTAGTGCCTGGTGGTGGAGGGAAGGCATGGGCTCCATCACTGTTTACCGACTCACTTGGCTGTGTTGTGTAATCCACCTCTCGTTCTACATCATTCAATCCAAATCCAGATAGTTAATGAATTGTTTGTACATTTTTACATTTTTCTGGTCGAACTTTCACAGATGAAACCTTGAATTTTTATTTTATAAAACTATAGGTGATTTATTATGACTCGTGAGATGTAAAGGTAAAAACAATCATAAGTCCGCCCGATCTTTATGAAATCCGTTGAGTTCTTCTGTTAATTCGGATTATAATGTTAAATTTATCAAGTCGGATTAATGGTCGTGGATTATTGTAAACACAGTTAAACAAGTGTGCATTCTGACTTGTGTTGTTAAACTATAAGGAGTGAGCACTAATAAACATGGATGTTGGGGAACTGTTGACGTTCAAGGTAAAGTATACTGGAAACACTGGCTCCTCGACCCACCCAGGAGACAGTTGTTAACCTCTCCACTGGGGGTCACTGTGTCTTGTGCAAATGCTTCGTTTTCGAGTCTTTGTCCCTTACTCCTTCAATTTTAATACTCCACAAGGCAGAGCTCTGAAGAATATTGAAAATGGGTTACTATTCCGTTTCTAGTGACCATTCACAGAACTTTGTTGATTTGATATTACTACTGTATTTTACTTTCACACAACCATTGAATCTTAGGAATTTTGTCTTTGCAATCAATAATGATATTTTCGTTCTGGTCATCCAGCTAATTTTAGGATGGGTTAGGTTAGGTTGAAATATTGGTTTGGTTAGATTAGTTTTGGTATTATTGCGTTTACACACCTTTCATTCCTACCTCTAATCTATTATCATATTCGAATGAGACATAATTTTCATCTATTACATTATCGGTGGAAATGTATAATAACGGAGATAGCACATCCAAAATTTTCTTTATTTTCTTCCATTAATCTTCCTCCATTATCGCCTGCCTCACCTCCAACACTGCGTGTCTCCTTCATAAATCATCACGTGCATGTGCTCCCGTACACGTCACGTGGCCAATCAAAAGCGTTTTTGTTTTTGCAACCAATTAAAATGATTTTGGGTTTAATTCGCGGTATATTTGGCCCAATCAAATTCGAGTTTTATTTTGGGTCTCATATTTCGAAATTCAAGTTCAGTTCTGACCATGGAAGTCTGCGATGGGTGTCACTTAAATTATATGGAGCTGATTGCGAGTTTTGGGGGGAAAAAACGAAGAAACTAGCATTTTTTCGATTGCATGGTGTTCTTCCAACCTCAGTAAAGTGTACTAAGAGCAAGACTGAATGTAAATATCACAAAGACCAACATGTGTGGCGTTGTGTAAGAATCTCAGAATCCAGCGACGAACAAGAACCAGGTCAATAAGGTAAGAAATAGGTGATTCCATCATATGGTGAGAGTCAGTTAGGTTAGGTTTGGTTTTTGTTTTTCTAGTGTTTTTTGGTGTATTTTGCCATGATTTTTTTTCGGAAAACGTCCAACGAAAAAAATTCTATAAAAAATATACGGCTAATTTCCGCCAGAAATGAAGGTCATATTCGATCTAAACTCGCACAAATACACTAGAAAAATATATTTTTGACTTTCAATCAGAGAACGGTGTGACAATGCAAATTTACCATTTTGGTTAGACTGGTTAGGTTGGATATCTAAATACAGGGATGACCGAAACTAAAATTTTGCCATTTCCAAATAGGTGGATGACTGAAACTATAGTTTTACCTCAGTAGTTTATACAATTCTAAGACAATTTCTTCTATGACGTTTCCCTTCCAAACGACTTATATATGCCCTGAGGGAGGGGGGGGTCGATTAGGAGGTTTAGTAATTCTTAGGTCATGTGCGAGGGAAACACCATCGAAGAAAAGTGTCTTAGAATTGTCTAAACTATTGATTTGACTAATTTATGAGGAAAAAGCAGTAATACTGAATCAGATGGCTAACACCAGAATGCATTCGATTTCGTTCATTTGATCCACAGATGTTCTTTGCATGATAGTAAGTAATGAAAATGATATGACAATAGAACCTGACAGAACCAACCAAAGAAACCTACCCAACATTTCTGTCCCCTGGACTCCCCACCATATTAAACAGAAAGGACTTATTTTGATACCAGGTACCAGTGAAAGCAACTTTATTGAAGCATCTTGGTGTAAAATTATGTTTTTTGTGGACGCTGGAGTATGCTCGGACTGAGCGGGTTGGTTGTGAACAAATAGAGCAGATGGCAAAACGCACTGACAACATCAGATTTTTTGGAGGAACGTTTTCAGTAAATAATTAATTTCTTAACTTACAAAGCACATAGAGACATCATTTTAGTGTCAAATGAGCAATTTTTCACCGTGTTTTACCCCACAATTTCCTCCATCCTTCATGCCCTGCCCACTACAGGTGATTTATGATTGTAGATAGAGAAAAAACTACTTACAATATAATTAAATTGAAAAGTTGTCATTTCGTTTTTATCACTTACTTTCATCCAAAGAACATCTGTGGAAAAAAATGAATGAAATCGAAGAACTCACTGCTGGTGTTAACCATCTGCTCTAGTATTTACTAAAACCAATGTACCACCAGAAGGAGTTGTTTGATTTTTTTCATTTTTTCCAGATATTCTTATAATTATACTGTAGAATGTTGTTTAAATATTAACTTTGCTTATAAATTTTTATTTTATGATTGTTGTTCATTACAGTATTATAAAGGGTGGTTTGTTTAATTTTGTCATAGCACCATGAAATAGTATCTTGTGAATTGTTGAATATCTACAGATGGAATCATTCATATTCCATAGTATTGTATTGAATGTTTGGGGAGAGATTATAAGTTTTTAATTTTATTGATTATGTTATTTCTTCACTTTTTTTCCTCACAGTTTCTGTCTGCCTTTCAACCCTATTCACATACAAATTTAACTTAAGACAGTAGAACATAAGAATGAAGAAAACTATAATGGGCCTATTTGAAGCTTCCCAAGAAATCCAGTAACTTGTTCCACTGATTTACAACTTTTATTACTTAACCAATGTTTACCTAATTCCTTCTTAAAATCTAAATTTTTTAAATGTAATTCCATTGCTATATAGTACTGTGGCCAAAATTGAACTGCATATTAGTAATTCAAGTATGGTCTCACAATTGCAAGATATTGGGATTATTGCCACAGTTGCCATTGGTTAGGGTTTCCTTTGGTAGAAACATTCATGAGTCCTTCTATCCAGGTTTGGTTATCAACCTGGATTTCAGGATCAGCCCCACATTTACAGATTTTTTATGAAAACTCATACAATTGTTTGTATCCATTTTTTGGAAAGCAATAACTACATCACTGATAAAATAAATGAGCGTGGAGTTGATTGTTAAGAGTTGTATGTATTGGAGTTAAGTATGATAAAATCATTCAACAGCCAGAGATGGCAGTAAAGCGAGCACAGGAAGAGGAAGAGGAAGAAAAAGAGCGGCCAGGGAGGAAGCGAAGCAGATTGGAATCCAGAGGTTTAGGTCCTCAGCCACCAGCAGCTACCACCCACCCTACAGTGACTAATGCACGTACCCGACAGATTGTGGAGGAAAAGTTGCAACAGCTTGAGCAGCAGGAAGATCCTGAAACTGTGAGATTAATGTTCATCATTTCATAGTGCTTGGTAAAATTTAATATGCTTAGCCTACAAGTAACAGGATCACCAATGTACTGTATAACAAAAATTTTAAATAATTTTCCATAGCTGTTAGTATCATATTTAAGTAGCAGATAAGCAACATGTTTCCATTTTACCTTTGTTTTCACCTCTCTTGTATCTACATCTACTGTTACCTTACACACATTCTCTCACAGTTTCTTTTTACTGAATCTTTGGTCCTTCTTTACATTTTCTCACACATCCTTCACTCATATAGTACATTCTTTTGTTAACTTTTCATTTTGACATTTTCAAGCACCCAGTGCCATTGGTACAGTAACTTTGTTTTCTCTAAAACTATTCCATCAGAAAATTATTATAATAGGAAGTCCCCTAATTCCATTCATCCTTTATTAAAAAGTGTCTTAAACATTTAGCTTCAGTTAGTAAACCTGTAATTTGACCTCATACCTGTTGCAGGCTTCCCCATCTGTTGTAGTATTATGCTGTACACTGACAGACTCCTCCTTTGCTCATTAATTTCTTTACTCAGTGATCATTGAGTAGTGTCATATATAAATCAGTATTCCTCTATCCATACCAGAGACACCACAGTGATAATAATTTTGAACCAATCCTTTAGTTCATAGAGTCAGAATTCTTATAACTTTTACATTTATATAATTATTTGTTACTTGCACGTCTTTACAGATTCATTTGTTGTTGAACATTTCCTTCATAAAGATACTACAGGTATCCCTTGTTTAATGATGGGGTTGTGCTCCCTAAAATCTAACGTTAAGCAAAATTATCACTAAATGACAGATAAATAACATGGAGGTTCAGTCTACAATGATTTCTTTCCCCTAAACGCAGTACACTGTATTTAACGATAACTTTCTATAATAATAAAATACAGTGCACTACAGTTAAGTAACACCCACCAAGTCCATGTCAGATGTAATGTACTGTAGTCATCAAGTGTCCTCCTTAAGGCTGGAGAACTACTGAGTACACAGCGTGGGAGGGATAGGCGGCGCGCGGGTAGAGTAAGCATAGACAAGTGACAGCAAGGATGTGCAATTGGAGCACAAAATTTCCAGGTTCTCCCCCTTCCCAGTGAGTTGAGCTATCGCTAAACCGAATTTTGATCTTATGATAATAAGCAAGAAAGGGCGTCAATATTTTTTATCACTAAAGCAAATTAATGCTAAATGAGGGATGCCTGTACAGTATTAGGATTCATGAATTTGTGTAATTGTCTCAACTTTGGATGTACAGTACCGTATATTCACTATTAGTGTCTCCTTTTCATCAATGTCTAATTCACCTTTTTCTTTGTAATTTTTGTTTAGGATGAGGGCCCCTTAGATGAATCAAAGCTCAAGAAAATGATTCTTGGATTTGAAAAGCGAGTGCTGAAAAACCAGGAGCTGCGAATAAAGTTTCCTGATGATCCAAGGAAGTATGTATTAGCTACTGTTTTTATAATATGAAATAAGAGTAGATTATTTGTTCTCAGTGTAGCATACATCCATAAGTAATACAGTACCTGTACTGTGCTGGTCAGGGTCACATCAAGACGATCTAGGGCCCTGGGCACTTTATCGAGACTGGCCCCCCTCACCCCATCCCCCAATCTTTTTCAGGAAAAAGAAAGACATTGTAAATTTCAAATAAAGGTAGTTTATTTAATTATTTGTTTTGTGAATTCAACTTCTAAAATAATCAACTATAAGGCCATTTCAAATGTTTTCTCTTTAAGTTTTAAGTTGCATGCATTCATTACCAGCAGTCGTACTTAGATTACTCAGAAATAAAAGTTCACCTCTCAATAAAATAAAATCTGACAAAATTGTAGTAATCAGAATGTCTGATTTTAATTCATTTACTGGAAGTAACAACTGTATCTAGATGAAGTACTTTATAGATGTATTGAACTAAAAGTTAGCCTTTCAAGCTTTCATAGCATATTCATCCAATGCACAGTAAACATAGAAAAGACATAAAATCCAATGATAATATGAATCAATGAGTGTCACGCCGTGCAGTTCTCACACAACACACCCAAGCAGGTCGTGGCAATCGAACATGAACACAATGAGAATGAACGAGTGACTGTTGACGCGGCGTATTTCTGCTCCAGGGTGGGGGTGGGGAGGGATGTGTGCACTAGCATTCATATTTAGATGAAAAGATAGTGCAAACTGAGAAATACCAGCATATATATTTATTAGTACTATTATTAATATGAATAATATAATGTGTCCTTATACAATACAGTACAGTACTGCAAACATTTACTATTTTTGCTGCAATGTAATGGGCTGCAAATTTTACATTATTATTATTATTATTATTATTACTATTATTATTATAACAAATTTTTGCAAGCTCAAGGCCCCCTCTGGGCCCAGTGCCCCCGGCCCGGGCTCCGCTAGCACCGTTGTTAATGCAGCCCAGGTGCTGGTATTAAGAAATAAGGATACTTTAGTACAGAAGTAGTAGAGACCTGTTTCCACGGCTTGATTTAAGATGGATGCTGGTAATGTACTGGATAATGTTACTTGCAGGATACTTTCAAGCTTTCAAGCTTGTTACAGTTCCAAATTAGCTCACCTCTGAAATGGAAATTATAGTAAAAAAAAATTTAACTAAAGGAAATATAAAAAAACTTCAGACCACAGAAATCATGGGTTTAGTATAGGAAGTTGAGATTTTCATGTATGGAAATTAAAACTTGGTTTATTTGTAATAATATTTTGTTAAGTATGTATCTGTAGTTGAATTAAGAAGGCATCACTATACAACACAGCAAATATCTTCATTACACTAGATTGTTACTGCTGTATATGATTTTAACTTTGAGTTATAACAGTACCATATACAGTATAAAGAAAGGTGGAAAATACTGTTACATGGATTGGAGATCGTAACTTTCTGTATACGTACTGTACTTAGTTTTGTTGCACATAAAGTGTTAAGAGGAAGGTAGGAGCTTTATGTGTTAAAAAGAAAAATGGGGTACCTTTTTATTTTAGTCATGTGATAAAATACAACAATATACAGTACAGTAGGCAGTCAGATATTTTATATTTTTTTAGTGATGTTATAACAGAATTTCATTTTTTCACAGAAGCTGTTGTGGGAAGTTATTCTTGCTAATAAAATAGTTAATTTCTTGTTTTATTTGTTTTTACTCTTAGATGGACTTTAAATCAGTTCTCAAAATTATTAATACTTCTCCTTTACCTTTATTAATATGTATAGGTTTATGGAATCAGAAATAGAACTGAATGATGCCATAGAAGAACTGCATGTAGTGGCAACAGTACCTGAGCTTTACCCAGTATTGGTGGAGGTGGGAACTGTGAAAAGCTTACTGGCTCTCCTCAGCCATGACAACACAGACATTGCCATCGCAACTGTTGATCTGCTTCAGGTATGTGAGCTACATTAACTTTTGAATAAACAGGGATATCTGGGTACCTATGTGTGTTGGTGTATGTGAACCATTTTGGCTGCCCACCATAATTCATTGCCATTGTGAAGCAACTCCAGTATGGCATGAACAGCAGTGTCCTGTACAATGGCACCGAGTCTGAGTTCTTCCCCATCCAAACAGAGGTAAAACAAAGATGTGTACTGGTACCAACTCTCTTCCATTTTCTTGGCTGCCTTCCTTATTCGTGCCAGTGCCAGATGAAGGGACTTTTCAATATCAGACGACTCCCGGCAGAAACAAAGGTGTTGGCAGCTTACATTACTGAACTTCAGCGTGCAGACAGCCTCACCCTCGTCGCTCACACTGAAAGTGACCTACAGGAGATCCTAAACATCTACGCAGATGTGTATGCACACTTCGGCCTTGAGGTGAATGTACGTAAGACTCAGATTCTCTTTCAACCTGCCCCTGGTTCAACCACACCCCCACCATCCATCCAGCTTAATGGTACTACCCTCTCTAATGTTACCCACTTTCAGTATCTCAGCTTCCACCTGTCCACCACCGTTGACATCGATGAAGAGATTCAACATCGGTTCAGATGTGCATTTCAAGCCTTTGGTAGACTCCATACCCGTGTCTTCAGCTGTAGGGAGCTGAAATTATCTACAAAGTTGCACATATATCGAGTAGTGGTCCTCCCCACCTTGCTATATGGCAGTGAGACATGGGTCACATACAGGAGGCACCTCAAGGCACTTGAAAACTTTCACCAACTTAATCTACGTTCCATCCTCCGAGTTCGCTGGGAAGACAAGAGAACAAATGCCAGTATATTCTTGCTGACACCAGCTGTAGGAACATCAAGGCTACCATTATCCATGAACAACTACGCTGGACTGGCCATGTTACCCGCATGGACGACAGTAGATTGCCAAAGCAGCTACTTTACAGTAACCTAACGAATAGTAAACATAATGCCGGCGGAAAAGGTATAAGGATAGTCTTAAGACAAACCTGAAAAAGTGCCAAATCTACCCCCTCACCTGGGAGACGACGACTCCACACCTTAAGGCTTGGAGGAACACCACACAAGAAGGCGTCAATACTTTCGAGTTAGCCCGACTGCAGAACAAGGCAAACAGGCACCAGCCTGACTGCATACCGAGGCAAACAAGCACCAGCCCGACTGCATACCGAGGCAAACAAGCGCCAGCGGCAGAAAGACCTTGCCGTTGCCCCTCCTGCACTAGATGTAGCCCTCCACACGTGCAACATCTGTGGACGACCCTGCCAGTCCCATATCTGCCTCTTTAGTCACCTCAAACTCACCAACCTAGGTGATATCCTTAATAACTCATATCATTATATCATAGCTGGATGATCGTCATACTCGATTCCGAGTGACAGCAAAGTAGTAGTAGGGTGGATGATTACATATTGCATGTATGCATTTGTGTGTACAGTGGTCCCTCCATTAACGAGCGGTTCAATAACGAAATTTTGGTTCACGAATTAGCTGCCATAAGGATTTTCAGTTCTATTAACGAGTACAACTTCTATTCACGACAGCCTTATGAGAAACACGCTTTGTTGTGCGCATCAGCTGATCGGCTAGTCCGCCAATGCAGTAATCGGTGCTATGTTTACATTTGTTTCCAGTGTGGTAAATATCAAGAAAGTTGTGCTCATGAATATTTTTTGCATTTTTTATATTAAAATTATTGGTTATGCTGAAATTTAGTTAACATATTGATAATATATACAGTACAGGGTACAGTTTTTGTGTGCCCATCAGCTGATCGAATCGCCCGCCAATGCTTCTCAGTTTAACTTTGCTGACAGTGGAGTAAACATTGAGTTTGTTGGTCTCTTGAATATTTTTGCATTTTTACATTAAAATTATTGGTCATTCTGAAATTCAGATGACATATTGATAATATACAGTGCAGAAATTATTAAGAAATACGAAGAAGGCATTCGAACCAATGCACTCTGTAAAGAATATGGCATGTCATCATCGACTGCCTCTACAATCAGCTGTTTGCTATGTAAACAAAGCCGCCGGGAATACTACATACACACTTTAAAGCAAGTTAAAATACGTTCAGTTTTCTATTGTTTTTTTATTTATTATTGTACAGTATTGTACAGTATTTTGTTTATATTTAATAATTTGTTAATTTTATTACCAGTATACAGTACTTTGTATGTACTTTTTCTGTGATTTGGAATTAATTACCCAATATCCCATTGAAATAATAGTCGTTAATCAAGGGACCACTGTATTTGTATGGGGGAACTTTATATTTTTCATACAATACATTATAATTATAGTTTTATAAAAGTTAAAAAACAAGTACAGTATGTTTGATTATTACATATTTCTTGCAGGAGATGACTGAGGTAGAGGACCTACAGGATGACAGTGGAGCAGAGGCTCTCATTGAGGGTCTACTGGAGGGGCAAGTCATTACTATCTTGGTCCACAACCTCCAGCGCCTGGAAGAGACTCAGAAACAAGAAGCTGACGGTGTCCATAATACCCTTGGTACGTTATTGTTTCTATTTTAAGTTTTTTTTTTTTAAATGGCATCATTCTTAGCATTTAATCTCCCCAGTAATGAGACATATCCTGTGTGATTCATTCTTTTTCATCACACAGGACTCTACAGTATATATGTTTTACTTGTATCACTTCATATACTATACTATATTTATGGTTTATGGTTGCAAACCAGTGTAAAATACTTAAAACATTAAATGTCACTTCATATTATCATATAGTACAGTGACCCCTCGTTTAACGAACACCTCGGTTAACGTAATTTCGATTAACGAACTGCCTTCCATAAGGATCTTCAATTCGGTTAACGAAAAAATATTCGGTTAACGAAGTTCTTACGAACCGACCTCAACATGTTTTCGCTTGCACTGACCGGGCAACCAGCTTTAGTATCAGTCCGCCAATACATTAATCGGTTCTAGGGCTTAAATTCCTTACTATTTTAGTAAATATCAAGAAGTTTATACTATTCAATAATTTTAAAAGTTGAATATTCAATTTTTTAGTCATTTTAACAATTATTGAACATAATTGAAGGTAAAGTGACTAGTTTAATGCGCGGCATCCAGCCTCTTAACACAGCAAACAGGAGTTAGTCTCTCTCTGTTTTCACTGGAGGTAACATCTTGCTTGAGACTCTCTTCAACTAAACGCTTTTTTCTGTGTTTCCAAGCAAATTATTGGTCATTTTGAAATATATTTTACATATTGACAATATATAATGCAGTGCAGTGTTGATTTAAAGAAAATAATCTTGAATTACACCAGAGAGCTAAAATTTTATGGGTGAAATGGCGCCATGGGGTGACTTCTCTTCCACCCCAATGCCTTCTCTTCTCCCTTCTCCTCCACCACCATTCTAAATCCCATCATCATCATCATCATCCAGGAGCCTTCTACATACACACCTCAAAGTAAGTGAACTTTTCTACCATTTTTGTTGAATTTAGGAAATTTTCGGTGAGCTGGAACCAATTACCCAAAAACCCATTGAAACAATGGTTTCGGTTAACGAACGACCTTCTGGAACGGATTGAGTTCGTTAACGGAGGGGTCACTGTGTATATTTATTTATATATATATATATATATATATATACATATATATTATAAGATGGAGAACAGGTTAATGGGAGTGAGATATCAACTTGGTAAGGGCAAAAGCAAACAAGAGTTCATATACAATGGTGTTATGCCATCATTTTTCTAAGATGACTTTGCAGTCAAAATTACTGCAACTACTCCAGTCTCCCACACCTTGAACACATGTGATGATGTACTGAACTCCTACCCGGTACATGTGCAGCATTTGGAGAAGCACTTCTATCTAGCTTTCCTCCTGATCTCTAAGCTGCACCCAGTTTCTGCTTGCCTTTGTGTCCAGGATGGCCAGTAATACATATACAGTATATTCTGATCATAATACTTATTTGCTATAAATAATTCATTTAGAATATTTTACTTGCATTATTTTTCATAAAAAGTGCTCGGCGACACACATGCAGTCTGTCGCCAGGCTATCTGGCTGTCTTTGTGTTTGGTAGAGCAAGTAATGCATAGAAATATTTATCGGAATAATAATTCCACAAATAAATACATTTATAACATAATTACAGCCTTATTTTCCAGTAATGCTACACTACACTACAAGAATTGTACACTAGTTTTAGCAATATTACTTTGATACAACATAATAAATTGGACAAACAATGAAAATTAAATAAACAAAAGTAGGTACTTACATTCAGGAAGCTTCCCTGTGGCTGAGTGTGTGGCCTGACAGGCAAATAGTCACACTGGAATGTAATAAGCCGCACTGGTCATTCAAACAATACCGCAAAAAGGTGCACGTTCCCGAACGTCGACCAGGGTGCCCTAGATGGGCGTTCCGGAAAGTCAACCGGAGCGTAGGGGTTAAGGATTAAACATAAGGAACTACTCAAATCAGAATGAATAAATGAAATGAATGACATTTGAAGTGTAACTAATTTGGTGAAATTTGCATAAATGTATGAAATAATTTTATATGTGCTAATTACTAATCTGTATGTAATTTGTTTATACAGGAATTATTGAAAACTTGGCTGAAGTACGACCTGAGATCTGTGGTGAAGCAGGGCCTGGTGGACTCTTGGCTTGGCTTTTGAAGCGGCTTCGTGCAAAGCTGCCTTTTGATGCCAATAAATTGTATGCCTCAGAGATCCTGGCAATTTGTGTTCAGAGTCATGAGGAAAATCGCCGTCTTTTGGGAGAAATGGATGGCATTGATGTACTCCTTCAGCAGTTGGCTGTAAGCATTTCCATATATATTAAAAAGAATATAAATAGAAATTATGCTATACTACCTACCTTCTTGATTGGAGGGCCTTTAGTTTTATAATTTTAAAAATTCTCCTGCTTTAATGCATATGCATACAGTAAACTTGAGCGTCTAACATATAAAGTTTATACTGTACCCTGTATTGAAAGACAGGAGGCATTGTTATACAAATAATTTGATATTGGGGAAAGGGATTTCCAAAAAACATTTTGTTATAATTCTCTAATCATTCTCATGTATTTTACAGTATATGCAGTATAATACTTACCATAGGATCTCTATGCTGAATGCCTCCTTTCACTTGGTTATGGGGTACAGTACTGTATAAATTTTCTCTTAATAAAGAAAATCATTATAAATAATGCTCAAAATATTTATTATATTTCTTATTCATAATTATTAGTTTCTGCGTGATCAAGTGTTTTCATCTTTATTGCCACTGTATTTAAAGATGTAGATACTACTGCACTGCACTCTGTGATTTACTAAGAATATGTCCTCTCCACAGGTGTACAAACGACATGACCCATCTACTAGTGAAGAACAGGAAATGATGGAAAACCTTTTTGACACTTTGTGTTCTTGCTTGATGCTTCTTGCCAACCGTGATCTGTTCCTGCGGGGGGAAGGTCTTCAGCTAATGAATCTTATGCTCAGGTTAGAATTAATCACCTAAGTACTAATGTATTATAATCATACATACAATAGTACAGTACCTTCATACCCCTGCTTATTTGGATTGTTTCAAGAAAATCAGAAATATCACCAACTGTTTCCACCTAACTGTTTCATACTGTAAAGTGTTATGTGTAAGTTTAAAGCTGCACTGGAAACCACAGAATAGGTGAAAAAGTCATTTAAATGTGCTCGTTTGCCTTATGAATAAAGAAAAACTGGGATATGAGAGTGTCACCCACGGACAGACGTTCAATAGCACATACAAACACTCAAACTGTCCGGACTATTACTCGATTTTACGGACTTTTTAAAATGTTTTTGGTGAATAGAGGGGCATTCTGGAGCACCTCATAGAGTCCGAAAAAAGTTAATTCTGGCGTATTAAAGTCCGGTGTATAGAGGTTCTAGTATATTTATATCTAGAACATTCTGCATAGGAACCATTCTTTACTCCAATATTGCCATTTGTATAGAGTGGATGAAATGGAACAGAAACCTTGATAAAGAGAAGAAATAGTATTGAAGGGGAGAAGTGCAAGAAAAGTATAGAAAGTACACCCACTAAAAAATTATTTGGCACCCTTTGCTCTGATACACCCCCGCGACGATCACTGGTACAGAAGCTGTGATTACATGGTGTGGTTGGTACCCCTCTCTCTCTCTGTACACACAGAGAGAGAGAGAGAGAGAGACAGGGGTACCAACCACACCATGTAATCACAGCTTCTGTACCAGTGATCGTTGCAGGGGTGTATCAGAGCCAAGGGTGCTGAATAATTTTTTTGTGGGTGTACAAGTGTCCTCGATAATCACAGGACCCTATAATGGCTGATCTGGTTTATCACACTATCCTCAGTTGTGACCATGTATACGCTTATCACTGATTGATCTGGGTTATCACGGAATTGTCATGGGACAGCAGCAGGTCTGCGAGAGCCAGCGGTAGCAGCAACTGCCAAGTGATTGCAGCACGGCTCATGGTGCCAGCTTCCAGCAATAACATTTGTTTCCCCACATTGATTTGGTTGGTGTTTGCAGACAGTTTCCTGCTCCGTGCTTGTTTTTGGTGCAGTTTATGTAACTTTTACTTACTTTCCACCATGGCACCTGTGAACAGGAAGAGTGTTAAGGTTCCTGATCCAGCCAAGCGACAAAGACGTGTGTATTCTCTGGTTGAATGTTCAGATGTTACCGACACAGATAAGCATGCACTTGGCAACACACCCACTGTGTGTTAACACTTCTTTCCACTCCACCTCTCTAATCACCCCCATTTTTCTCCTTTCTCACTCCATAATTTAAAATTTATGTAACGTAATATGGAAGGAATATGACATTGTTCATTTATACTTACACTCAAGGGGTAGACATCAGCTGTTCAGTTGTGTCTGGCAGTGCTGCAGCCAGTGTACCCAAACAAACTGGTTGATGCATCATCTCCTTACCACTATCACCCCTTCCCCCACCAGCTCCAATACCACCACCACTATCTCCCCTTCCACCACCTAAATCATAATTTCAGTGATGGATTTTGCTTTAGCCAGAGCAGATTAGCATGATATCCACTGCCTCCCACCCACTTCCCACCTTCCTCTTCCATCCCACCCATTGCATCTCACCAACACTCTGCCTCTCTCACTCATTCTACTATACAATATTGTACAGTACTGTGCAGTGGTCCCTCGGTTAACAAATACAATTCGTTCCACAGAGTCGTTCGTTAACCGAAAATTTCGTTAACTGAATCCATTGTTTCAATAAGATATTGGGTAATTGGTTCCAGCTCACAGAAAAGTACATACAAAGTAAAAAAAATGCAGTAAAGTACCTTACTTTGAGGTGTGTATGTAGAAGGTTCCTGGTTGATGATGATGATGGGAATTAGAAGTGGGGAGGTGGAGGAGAATGGAGAAGAGAAGGAAGTGGGGATGGAAGAGAAATCCTCTTTCAGGGAACCCATGCTTGATGCAGTAATTTCACCAATAAAATTTTAAGTTCACTAGGTGTAATTCAAGATTATTTTATTTAAATCAACACTGCACTGCTCTATATATTATCAATGTTAACTAAATTTCAGAGTGACCAATAATTTTAATGTAAAAATGCAAAAATATTCAAGACACCAACACTGACTTTGCTTGGGAGATTGGTATCCCCGCATCCCCTGAGCAACGCTCTTGTGCATTATGCAGAAGACCCAACAGCAGCACCCTTATCCACTACCTCCTAAGATGTCCCCACACGCAACGCTTCCGTGACGCCTGCTGGACCACCACTCCACGACCCCCTGATGGAGACACGATGATCCTCCCCATACTGGCCAGATATTTTGTAAATAACATTGATTATGTGTTAAAGGAATATCCTTCCTTCCTTAGGCTTTAGTAAGCCCCTTTATAATATTTATACTGTATATACTTGTCACACTTGCCAGATACGTCTGGTGTCATTGTACAGGGGTACCTAGTGACAGCACTAGGATCCCGCTTCCTCTATCAAGGAATAAACAATTGAAATTGAAATTGACACCAACAAAATCGATGTTCACTCCACTGTAAACAAAGCCACACTGACGCCTGGTGGGTGAGTCAAGCGGCTGATGGGCGCACAAAAAACTAGTTCCTTGTATTGCATATATTATCAATATATTAACTAAATTTTAAAATGACTGATAATTTTAATAAAAAAAATGCAAAAATATTAAAGAGCACAACTTTCTTGATATTTATTCCACTGGAAACGAATGTAAACATAGAACAGATTATTGAATTGGCAGACTAGCCCATCAGTTGATGCTCAAAACAAAACGTGTTTGTCATAAGGATTTCGTTAATCGAACTTTTGTTCAAACTTTCACCGGGCACGAAGGGCCCACGTTCACTTGTGATATTCTATGTACAGTACTGTATTAATTTTGTAATTTTTCATAGCAATTTTTTTCTTCATTTTTTACGTATGCAATTTAAAATTGGTTCGAATTAGGCTCGCCTTGTTCTCACTAAATTGTTTAACTCTGAATCATGTCATTTATATAGAATTTTTTATGTTAATAAATTAATCATTTAACTTTAAACCATTTATAACAAACTTGTTTAAAGGAAGGAGCACTATACTCATTGTTTACCACCCTTCTTTTTTAACCTGTTGTTCTCTCTCTACCTCACTGTTTTCCCTCCTGTAGTGATAATTTTGCTAAACATTAGTTTTTTAGGAATTCAATCCCTTCATTAAACGAGGGATACCTGTACAGTATATGAAGTTGGTCAAGAATTGTTATATTTATTACATTGTTGCACTACATTGCATATGAAACGCTACATAATGTAAATTTTAATTTTACAGGTGTATAAACACCCATGCAGATTCCTTGTGTAGATCTGTACAAAATAATCATATTGCTTAGAGTCTTAGACAGATGATTTTTTTAATACTGTGGCCTTTACTGTGTAGATGACCACCTCTTTGTAAAATGAGGTGAGGAGGTGATGTGTCTATTGGTGTGCTAAGTGGTGAGGAGGTTATGTGTCTATTGGTTTCTTTAGTAACACTGCACTTGCAGCATTGCCTGATGCTGTTGAACAGCTGTTATCTACCCATAAAATTGAGTGCAAGTATATGTGAACAATGTTGTATCCCTTTAATATTATGTTACATAACATTTTGAAATATGGAGTGAGAAAGCAGGAAGGTGAGGGTGATTAGATAGTTGGACTGGAAGGGAGTGGTAACACACACCGAGTGTGTTGGCAAGCGCTTCTCAATAGCTTATCTTCAACCTGTTACCACACACTTGTGTTTCAGTTAACCACACACAATTATATTGTATGTCATACAATAAGACCTACACTTAATATAGAATTGTAAATCACATTTATTAATCAACTATGGTCATGGGTACTTACCAACAAAGCACTAAACCAGTAACACATCACAACAGCAGTGGGAGACATGATGTTTAGAAAATAGTCACAGTAGTAAAAAAAATCGTGGAGTCAGCAAGAATGTGTACACAGTGTAAGCGTGGCAAAATTTGTACTGTACAGTGGTCCCTCGGTTGACGAGCACAATCCGTTCTAGAAGGTTGCTCGTTTACCAAAAAACTCGTTAACCGAAACCTTTGTTTCAATGGGTTTTTGGGTAATTGGTTCCAGCTCACCGAAAATTGCCTAAATTCAACAAAAAAGGTAGAAAAGTACACTTACTTTGAGGTGTGTATGTAGAAGGCTCCTGGATGATGATGATGGGAATTAGAATGGGGGTGGAGGAGAAGGGAGAAGAGAAGGCATTGGGGTGGAAGAGAAGTCACCCCATGGCGCCATTTCACCCATAAAATTTTAGTTCTCTTGGCGTATTTCAAGATTATTTTCTTTAAATCAACACTGCACTGCATTATATATTGTCAATATGTAAAATAAATTTCAAAATGACCAATAATTTGCTTGCAAACACAGAAAAAAAGCGTTTAGTTGAAGAGTCTCAAGCAAGATGTTACCTCCACTGAAAAGACACAAAGACTGACGCCTGTTTGATGTGTTGACAGGCTGGATGGCGCGCATGAAACTAGTTTCCTTACCTTCAATTATGTTCAATAATTGTTAAAATTACTAAAAATTTTAATATTAAACTTTTAAAATTATTGAATAGTATAAACTTCTTGATATTTACTAAAATGGTAAGGAATATAAGCCCTAGAACCGATTACTGTATTGGCGGACTAATACTACAGCTGGTGGACCGCCAATTGCAAGCGAAAACATGTTGAGGTCGGCTCGTAAGAAACTTGTTAATCGAGGGATTGCTCGTTAACCGAAGTTAAGAATCTTATGGAAGGTAACTCGTAATCTTGTTAACCGAGGCGCTCGTTAACCGAGGGACCACTGTACTGTATTGTAAACAGAGAGCATTTGGTGCTGATTGGCCGAGTGAGTAAAAACAAAGAAAGCAGCTCTTGGCATGTTCTGATGTGTTCGAACTCATGACTTTTGACTGCTTTTATGAATTTTTTTTCTTTTCTCTATAGCTCCAAGATGCAAGCAAGAGCATTATAATGAAACCACACTATGGAGTAGCACTAACCAGGATATTACTGTATATGATCATTTAAATTTACATAGTAAGCTCTTTGAAATGTAGGTTATTGACAGAAAAATAAGTACAGTAATTGTAACTTAAAGATAGGTCACTATTACTCAAAGATAGGCCTATGATTGAAAAATTAGTCATTGTGATTAAACAATAGGTTACAGTGACTGTTCAATTTGTACATTTGAGGCCTGGCTCTCCAATTTACAGAAATAAACCTTATCCACTAAACCCCAGGTCCCATGCATGTAGGATAAATGGTCCCACACCTGTTAATGTATTCATGCATATTTTTTAAGTTAGAATTTTATGCAAAGTAGATAACTGCCTGTCTGTATCTCTTATCATCATTATCCCAATAGAGAGAAAAAGCTGTCTCGCAATGGAGCTCTCCGTGTGTTGGATCATGCACTAACAGGAGCAGAAGGTGCTGACAACTGTAACAAATTTGTTGAGATCTTAGGCCTTCGAACCATTTTTCCACTGTTTATGAAGACCCCAGGCAAACATGGGAAGAAAGGACTCACCAAAGATCAGGTGTGATAAATTGTTTCCTATGTTTATGTCATGTGTACTCTCAACTTAAACCTCTTATCCCAGTGGTTCCCAAACTGGCAGCGCACCTCCTTTGTGGGCAGGGTGCGAGGTTAGTACGGTGGAAGAGGGGGGGACATGAAGCAAAGCGAAAAACATAAATATTGACTTCCTTTTTCTTTATTGGGAATTTTTTAATAAAATTGTTTTGACATTAATATTTTTCTTTGTATACAGTAATTTAATATTCCCCAATTAGTCTAGTGGGATAATGAAATGTTTGTGCACTTTTCTTTACACGTATCATATTTGGCACACACATACATATTGACAATACAAGTACAGGTATTTTGCTGGGTAGAAGCAATCTGCTCCTGCTTGTTGAAATTAGGCACTGTATATCAATACTCCATACCTGTAATTGAATATAGTGTATTAGTTAGTTATGCTTAAGGTGATATTGGTATTATAAATCACAGTACAGTCATCCCTTGGTTATCACGATTTTCATTATCACGCCTCCATCAAAATCTGCACACCTGCTGTTAAAGCGCATTTTTCAAGCCGAGAATTTCGTTATTACGCAGTTGCCCCCAGGTGTTTTTACCCATTTGCTTCACTTACATCTATTGAGGATAAAATCTTTCTCCTACAAATTGACAATAACACATTTGCTGTAATCAGACATATCTAAGTTGCCTCAACAATTGCAACCCCAGTTGCAATTTCAAATTCTGTGTTATTACTAAGGAATAACGAAGTCTCGGGTGCACTCTAAGATTGAGAGAAAACGGAGGACTCAGGCGTCCTGAAGCGATGAGAAAACGGACTCCTCAGACGGGGGACTCAAATAAAGAAAGCATAGCTACATGTTTTGTGGACTACAGTATTGAGCGTACCGTTTTCATCACTTTGTAATAAACTTAGCCATGCCTATGTGTGTTTCTGATACTTACATAACATTATCTGTATCTTTAGTGGGTCTAAATGGTCATAAAATGGGAAAATTGGGGTTGGGTCTTGGGTGCCTGGAACCAATTAGAATAAATCCCATAGGTTCTGTGCTTTCGATATCGCGTTTTTCGTTATCACGCACTCGGCGCGGTCCCAATTAGGCGTGGTAAACAAGGGATGACTGTAGAAAGAAATTATATGCCAAAATAGTCTTGCCTGATATTCTCCCCAAGGTGTTTACATTTTATTCCTGTCTTCCATTGCATCATCATAGTTGACTCTGATTTTTTATACTATAAAGTGGTCCCTCGGTTAACTAACACAATTCGTTCCACAGAGTCGTTTGTTAACTGAATCCATTATTTCTTTGGGATATTGGGTAATTGGTTCCAACTCACAGAAAAGTACATACAAAGTATAAACAAAATGCAGTACAGTACACTTACTTTGAGGTGTGTATGTAGAATGTTGGACCCATGCTTGATGCAGTAATTTCAACAATAAAATTTTAAGTACACTAGCTGTAATTAAAGATTATTTTATTTAAATCAGCACTGCACTGCGCTATATACAGTCAGTCCCCAACTTACGACGGGTTTAGGGACCGATGATCAGGTCATAAGTCGAAAATGCGAAAATTATTGGTTCCAATTGGTTCCAACTCACAGAAAAAGTACATACAAAGTACCTGTAAAGACAAAAAATGCATAAAGTCAGAAACACTCCTAAAATTCCCTAAATCACCCTTAAATCACTATATATATTGTACATATACACTCTTACTCTTAAATCACTACTGTAATGTGATACAGGTGATTAATTTTTATCTCTTGTGCAAAATATATGATGTTTATATTCAAATTATTTGCTGTCTTGCAAGGATTCCAGCAATGCAAATTATATTCTCCTAACTTTAGTCTGTGATATTATATTAGATAAAAACTGTAAGCCAAAAACCACCAAACATTGGCTGGGAGGGAGGAAGGGGAGGTGACAGTGACATGTTTGACAGTTGGCGCCAAAGGTCTAGTGAAGTATTTATTTGTTTATTTATGTCCTTTAGATTGAGTTTTTATTTTTTGCTTATCAAATGTCATAGAAGTGACCGGGGAGAATATAATTTACATTGCTGGAATTCTTATAAGATAGTGATTAATTTGAATGTACAGTAAACGTGATAGTTTGCACTAGTCAAAAATTTTAGTAATCATTTTGTACATTATTCTGATTATATGTACATACAGTACAGCTTTGCCCTTAGGACGGTGTGTGCATGTAAATGAGTTTCAATAAATGAATAAAGTTACATATATTGAGCCAAAAATAATAGTTGAAAAACTTTATGTTGACAGAGCTTGGATGGCTAAATTTTAGAATGACCAATAATTTTAATATAGAAAATGCACAAATATTAAAGAGCACAATTTTTTTGGTATTTACTCCACTGGAAACAAATGTAAACATAGAACAGATTACTGTATTGGCAGACTAGCCCTTCAGCTGATCAGCTAATGCTCACAACAAAGCGTGTTTGTCGTAAGGATTTCGTTAATCGAAGTTTTGTTCGTTAACCAAATTGAAGATCCTTATGGGAGGTAATTCGTTAACCGAAATTTTGTTAATTGAACCGTCTGTTAACCGAGAGACCACTGTACAGTATATCAACAAATACAGCATCAGTTGCTTAGAAATAACCCACCACAAAGCTTAGTGAAAAACATTGTCAGGTGGGCTGAAGCCTATGTGAGATCAAATGTGTGGAGCTTAGTTGAGTCAGGGAAGATATTTGCAGAGGTTTATGGTGTGGTTAGGGTGATAATAAGTAAGCTTAATATTGATGTGTCCATAATTAAGTAAGTCCTGTTTCTGACACCTGTGAATCCTCCCTGTTCATGTCTCACTAATATTATTTTTTTATTACATTTGTGTATTTTAGCACGAAGAACACGTAGTCTCCATCATCATGTCCCTCCTACGCAACTGTCGGCCTAACCAGCGGACTCGCCTCATCAATAAGTTCACTGAAAATGATCATGAGAAAGTTGACAGGTTGTTGGAGCTACATTTCAAGTACTTGGAGAAAGTACTTGCAACCAACTATGCACTAGAAGAACAAGCCAAGGTAAACAGTCTTATGGTTATTTTGGTAGTTTAAATATACTGTATTCTCAGATATCATTTAAACAGATGGGGTTGCATGAAAAGAGTTAGCTTAACTCCTAGTGGACACATCCAACAACAGTTGCAGGATGGAGGGTAACATTGCTGTGGACATATACCACAACTAGGCCATGATCCATGGCTTAGTAGAGACATACCACATCCACTCACGTGCAGTGCCCCATGCAGGAGGAAATTGACTTCATTATACTGTATTTGAGTCTGGACACAAGGATAACCCTTCCATACATAGTAACAGCAATAAAGTGAAGATAGTAAATTTCCTAAGGATTTGACCAGAGAATCTATTGAATCTTAGGTGAATTTGAGTGATAAAGATGTGGAATATGCTGGCAATGGTGGGGGTAGCTTCCATATGCCTTATGTCCAGCCATGAGGCTCCCACATGGGATTTGAGTGATTCCTTGAACCTTGATGGTGTAAATCTGGAGCTTAAGGTAAGATTGAAAGGTTAATTTATTTTTAATATTTTCTTTAATTCAATATTCCTCCATTCAGTGGGTAAAGACCTAAAGTTGCCATCACCATCCTCAAAGGATTAAGCAAATTTAAGGCCTTAGCCTGCTTCTGATACATAAGTTGCTCTGAACTGACTTCTTGTTGTAAGGGAAGGCTTGCTTTACAAAGATCATTGTAATGCCAAGCCTGTGAGGAGTGGTGTTGGTCCCACTTTGGTACTGTACTATATACAGTATGTATGTACCCATATTTGAGTTTCATCTACATTATGTGTTGTGCTGATGTGTGAAAATAAGAGACTTCATGTTGCAAAAATAAAAAGTGCAACATGCATGTGTAAGATCAAGAATACAGTACAATATAGATTTCAAGAACTTCTGTATCATTATTTCTAAAAAAAAAAATCGGCAACTAAGAGGAAGTCCGCCCCGTTAGTCGGAGGGGGTGAAGCAATAGCTGGTTTCAATTTGTTTTAATATGATGTGGTCATTTTTATGTAAGGGATACCCCAAATTACCACACATTGGCTCCAGTGCTTGTCTTTGAGCCTAAAATCTATGAATCAATCTATCAATCAATTATCTGAAGTCTAAAAGCTATGAATTCCAAAACTGAGAAATTTTCCCAGAATTGATGTTTCAATGCAGTAATCTGCACCAGCACATGTGGCACTCAGAGCCAGAGTGACAAATCAACCAACCCCCAGATTTCTTGGATTTATTTTTAATGTGTCTGCCAAGCGTTTCTCTACCATATCAGATGGTAAGAGAGAGGATATTCATCTAAGCATAAGGGCCAGATTCTTTTTGAAAAGGTAGTGTTTTCCTGATCTTGTGGGCCAGTGCCAGCCACTTGTGTACAGTATATCAACAGTTTGTATGAGTTGGTGAGTATTTACATAATACTGTAAAGTCATTCATTAATAATATTGATTATTTATATTTTATTACACATTATGGAATGTGCTGTTGTGATTGTGACTTATTTATAATGTAGACGCTACTGATTTAAAAAACAATTATTGTATTCTAAAGTTACACTAAATTTTGCATCATATGATACCCAAAATATGAGAACATTGCACTGCGCTATATATTATCAATATGTTAAATAAATTTCAGAATGACCAATAATTGTACCGTAAAAACGTAAAAATAGTTTATGTTCAAGAGGGCCTCAAGCAAGATGTTACCTCCACTGAGCAGAGACACAAACAGACGCCTTGGTGGGCGAGTGAAGTGGCTGATGGGCGCACCAAAAACTAGTTCCATGTACTGCAATTATGTTAAATAAGTGTTAAAATGACTAATAATTTTAATATAAAACTTAGAAAAATATTTAATAGCACAACCTTCTTGATATTTACTCAAATGGGAACGAATTTAAGCCCTGGAACCGATTACTGTATTGGCGGACTAATCTACCAGCTGATGAGCAAGCGAAACATGTTGACATGTTTTCGTAAGAATTTCGTTAACCGAATTTTTGTTCGTTAACCGAATTGAATATTCTTATGGAAGGTAATTCGTTAACCGAAATTTTGTTAACCAAGGCGTTCGTTAACCAAGGGACCACTGTACAAGATGAAAACTTGAACACATACATAAAAATTATACATTCACAAATAATGCAAATGCAGTGTACACATCTGAAAGAGGCAAAAAAAATTTTATAAGCTAAGATCATTGTACACATCAGCAGTGCAGAGTGGCAGTCAAATGTCAAAAAATATGACAGGATTGTAAACTATGCACAAAAGAAGACACCGGTACACTCTAGGGTGCACACATGTGTCTACTTACTCATCTAGACACAAAATTGATTGCATGCAGTCAACCCTCGTGCACTTGTTCAGTCACATACCCACACTCTTAAATATATTCACACTCTTATTGCATCCACTCACTGCTAGACTTGTGTACCCATTCACACTCATGTGCACACTTGCATTTACATGCACACACTTCTCTGTCATTTCCAATGACAGAAAATGTGGCATTTATAGAACTCTTTACTCTATATTGTACTTTTTAGGTACAGTATATACTGCTCTTTATATCGCTTAAAATTTTTCTAGCCATCAGATAACTATACAGTACTGTATTTCACCAATAAAAATTATTAATTAGTTAATTTATACTTTTTCAGGCAGAAAATTTAGATGAAGATGATTTGTATTTGAGGCGATTAGATGGAGGGCTGTTTTCACTCCAGTTGGTTGACTACATTATGCTGGATGTGTGTGCCACTGGACCTCCCTCCATTAAGAGACGAGTTCTGAAAATTCTTAACCTTCGTAATGCTTCTGTGAAGACCATTAAGAATATCATGAGAGGTATGAATATTTTTTTATATTTCCATCTGAGTATTGCAAGTACTGTACAGTAATGGTCAAAAGTAATCATCCACTCCACCACCTAACCCCTGCGCTTGGTAGGGTCCTTTCTGCACGGTAAGTCACGTGGGGTGGAGAGAGGGAAATGGTCAATTTGGTGGGGGGTGTGAGAAGGTGGTATGCGATGCAAGCTGCTCATCATAGAGGGAATGGATTGAAGAAAGGGAAATTCATGAAAGAAGGAGGGGAAGGATGGATTAAGTTTTTTTTCTTCACTATTAAGTTTACATGTCTGAAGGAGCAATAGATGAGGACTCTTATTTTATAGTTATTATCATGTGCCATCCATTTCCTAATTATATAAATTTTTCAGATTGTTGTTCAGTTTCAAACAACAGTAATTAGATATTTATAATAACATTGATATGAAGAGAAATATTGAATACAAGGGTTGTTGTAACCGCCTTAGGTAAGGACGATCGGGTGACAGGCAAGTCGAAGGGAATGATTGAAAACTGCCTTTTGACGCACTCAATATTTATTGATATGGTCAAAAACCTGCAGAGAACAAGGCTTTCATTAGTATCACATGGTGATCCATCTGATACATAATTTGTTTGTCTCACACAATTTTATCTTAACTACATAAGATCACTAAACATAGTAACATAATAAAAGGTTCATAACTCTATTAATCATAGTTGCACTTCATTCCACATTGTCTTATTGCTCCAGATTCTCCAGATAAGGCAGAAAATGAGTAGGCATAATTAGTCCACAATATTTCAGTACTGGGGGGTATGTCATCACGTAGGCTGTACTTACAAATGCTGGTCGATGTAAATCAGTATGGTGTTCCAAGAGACAACAGTACTTCCTAAATTGTCTTAGCACAAAACTCAGGGACAGGACTGTGATGGCGTATGTTCACTACTGCCAGCAGAGAGTGGAGATCCTCACAGTATTGCTGTAGATCGTGTTCTGGCGTCAGGCAGGCCAGACACAGTCACAACACCTGCAGAACTGTCTATTCAGCAGAAACCAGGACAGCTCAGCTGTAAACATCCCCTCAGCTCGTTTCACTCCTCTCTCTTACATCTTCATTATTCTCATAAATAAACTATTTCTAACAATGTATTAACACTGTCCACGCGGTTCCCTGTGGGTGGTAACGCTCCAAAACGATTGTTCTATGGCTGCGACGTTTACAAACATCTGGCTAGGTCGCAGGTCACGTGGCCACAGGGGAGTCACAACACCTCTACAGTCTACAAGGAAGGTTGCGACGTGTGTAGTCGTAGGCTGGGAGATTTATGTTTGTTTGAGTAATGTGACACTTGTAGACAGCACATCGGTTGAGGTGCTGGGAGGCACTCAGTGCTGAGTGGAGGTGATGGAGGCAGCAAATGCCAGCACTGTGTAGCTGAAGCCAGCGGCAATAACAGTGGGAATCACACTTATTTTTAATATTTACCAATACAGGTCACACAGAATCTCAATAGCCCATCCAGTGTCCTCCTCACCTGTCAGTCATATTCTCCCCGGCCTAAAAAATATATAATTTATATGAATTAAGAATTCAAATATGTTTATATATATAGTAGGGTCGAGATATATTACGAGATAGGGTCCAAGGATGTTCGCTATATACAGGCTCTCCTCGACTTATGGCATATTCGACTTACGACAACCCGAACATATGACGGCCATGGTCGTTTGAAATATTTTTCACATTACCCTGTACGTATTTTCAAGTCCCGACATTTGGTCGTAATGTGACACCGTATGATAGCTTGCAACAGGGAGATTTACAATGAACATAAAAGGAAAACTCTGCAGTCTAAATTGGACATATTTTAAGAAGTCCCCCATTGCTGTCTCCTCACGCCTCACCACTGCTGCCTCTTCATTCCCTAAAGATGATCCAATACCTTCAACAAGCAAGTATGTTAGCCTGTCTGAAGAAAGAATACTTGATGACCCACCCAGCCCTGTCTCCTCCTATTATAACCAGTCACGCACAAACCAATAATTTGCCCATGACTCACCATTCAACCTTCATTAGTATTCATCCTGGGCTGGGTGTGGAGCAATGGGCAAATGCCATTGCCTCTCCCACTTCATCACTTTACTTTGATTTTCACAACTTTAATAAACACATTACAGGGTGGACAAGTCACATTCTATCCAACAATTCATTCTTAATTCTTCCTATAAATTAAGAGTGATTTCTTATTTTCAAGAATGGTACTGGCGAGAGGTGGAAGTGCTCAAATAATGGCCTAATTGTTTCTGGTAGTGAACACGCACAGTCCCACACCCCCTCCTCTCTTATGTTGTCATATCAGGGGCTTTCCCTCACAGAAGCCAGATGCCTTATTAACTCTATTGATACATTACCTGCCAAAAACTCACTCGCATTCCTTCCCAGAATCTCAAGTAAAGGCATAAATAATTTGGGGAAAGTTAAGTCCATGTTTCACCTCCCTGGACACTCACCCTCCTGGTTGGTTGGTTGGTTGGTTGGTTAGTTGTTTGGGCTTCACGCCTATCATCTGCCAGGGTCATTAAGGCCGTCAGCATGAAGCTACCTCCACCAACTTTTTCACCATCTTCATGTGTTAAGGATAATTCTAAGACCACATACACTCTCACTACATATGAGGCCCTTGACTTACACCCTCCTACCTTACCTGGTTATGCCACCCTTAGTTCTACCCCCAGCAATACCTCCACCACTCTCTTATGACCCATCTTGGAGAAAGGCCTTGATCTTGCGGGTATGGTAATAGGAGGGGTGGATGATTACTTTTGACTGTGACTACAATTCTGTAAGTTTATATGCTCATTTGTTTGAGTGTGTTTTTAAAGGTAGTGAGACTCTACTGTATTTTCAGTGATAAATTAATCTTCTGACCTGGGGAATTAATTGTTAGATCCCTCAAAGGAATAATATTTGTTAAGTCACATGTGGTGGGAGAATTAATTACAGTAATCAATCTCTCCTGCATAAGAATTATGTGGAGCCTTAAAAAAATACAGTTGCAGGAAATATAATGTATAGAACTAGTTTGAAGCATTACTTCTCATTTCCCCAAGTTCCACCCACATGTGGTAACCCAATTTGAGCAGCCAATCAAAAATTATTATGAGGTATGTGGAAGGTGCCAAGGAGAGGTGGAGTTAGCAGTCTTACAAAGGCTGCTTGCAGTGACCAACTGTGTATATTTCTCAAAGGTTTTTATGGAAAGGGTGTCCAGCCATAAAACTTGCTTAAAATTTGCCAGATGGCAACTGGTACAATGTGCTATCAGGTGATCATGGTGAACCCATGGAATTAAGGATAATAATGATGACAAGATAAAATTTCCTGAGATTTGCCAGAACTAAATACTGTACAGGGGGTCCCCGGGTTATGAACAAGTTCCGTTCCTGAGGATGTTCTAAAGTCGGATTTGTATGTAAGTCGGAACACATGCTATATGCATACTGTACTTACAGAACAACAATTAAAATCCCACTATATCATAGCCTAAGTCTTTATATACATCTAAAATCACTTAATTTAAGATAAAAGAAGAAATAGAAATACAAAATACAGTTAATGAAAGTAAAAAATAAGTCATCAGGTAAATAAAATACTGTAAATTTCAAGTTTAACCCTGTTTGTATCGGTGGGCTTTCGTAAGTCAGACGTTCGTAAGTCGAGGACCCCCTGTATTGGAAATGTGATAAATACAGGTTGACCCTCTCTTATCTAGCATTCCATCGACCGACAACTCCCAATTAATGGCACTGTTATAGAAAAAAACATTCTAACAAGCCACCAAATTTATGGCACGTTCAATCACCATGTAGTTGTTCATTTGGCCCTAGACCTAATTCCGTCACAATTACATGACATTCAAACATTATAAAATTCTAAAAATAAAAGGAAACAAAATTTCAAATAAAATGGCTGAAGTTCAATGGCGGCTTGTCTATTTGAGCTGAAAATGAAGCTCTTTCTTTGTACTGGATCACATGTCTACCATTGTTATGGTGTATGATGTTGACTTATTCTTTTCATTTTCCTTTCAACAGAATATGCAAGTAACTTAGGCGACACTTCCAGCTCTGAAGCTCAAGCAGAAGAACAAGACAGAATACTGGATCTTCTTGATAAATTCCAGAACACTTAATACAGAACCCATTCTTGTGGGGAGTACGATTTAAGTTTTTTCAGGGCATACACTGTTTGCTATTTTGCAAAATATTCTTTAGTAGAATAGTTTGATAAGTCGATACTTCACTTTAACGACTAATTGGTACCAAAAAACTGTTGTTAAAGTGGAAATCTGTAATGTGGTGAGTATAGTTTACATGCTAAATGGGTCAATTGGTACCAGCCCTCAGACACTTTCACCCCTTATAAACCCCACAAAAATTACAACCACTTATTCACACACATTAATACTGCTGTAAATGTCTTGCCTGTAGGATATAAATCCCTTGCCAGCGTAATCAGGATCTTATAAAAAGGAAAGTCAAGAACCATGGGTTTCCAAGGGGTAACAAACAACCGTTAGAGATTGTCATCTCTTTACTACGAAAATAATCACAATAATTTAACTCGGACACCACTCACACAAATATTAAATAAACAGCACTGGAGTCAAACAATTACTTAAAACAAAACAATCAATACAACAAAGTACAGGTAATTCCTACGGCTGCAGATGAATATTCCTCCTAACCAGCATGGTGGAATGTTCTGGTAATGCGGTGATCCGCTCTCAGGGGGAAGGACCAGGGCAACTTCCTCACTTGGCGCTGGCATTGGTGGGCGATGTCTTGCCACACAGGAGAGACGCCAGGGCACGGACGGTGGATAGGGCGTGGAGGAAGTGGCGATCACGTGGCAGTCGGGGCAATAGCTGGAGTAGGTGTCCAGAGTTGACAGCCAAATAGTGAAGGACTGGGGAATCAGCCCACGAGCCCCAGGAACCTCAGATGAGTACACAACCAGAGTTGGAATCAAACAGTGGGGTGAAGTAGCAGCTGTGGTGAAGGCTGGATTGTGTCTGCCGTGCAACAAGGCAGCAGCGACGTTCTCACCTCTGTCTACCCCCCTAGTGGGGCCGCGAACAAGCAAACGAGCAGCGGACAACCAACCCACTTGCTACAGTTTGATAAGTCCACACTTCACTTTAACGACTAATTGGTACCACAAAAACGGTTGTTAAAGTGAAAATCGTTAATGTGGTGAGTATAATTTACATGTTAAATGGGTCAATTGGTACCAGCCCTCAGACACTTTCACCCCTATAAACCCCACAAAAGTTACAACCACTTATTCACACGCATTAATACTGCATGTAGAGTTAATAACTAATAATGAGTAACCTTTAGACACTCATCGAACTGCTTAAGGAGGCTGTTTGTGCCTCCCTGCCCCTGTCCCTACACTGCACTACTACCCCACCACCACCAACTGATCCTTCAGTCTCAAAGCCAGTGAAGACTAGTGGTAAATCATCTGACAGATCACACACAGGTAAATCTTGAACATTATCATAAACAGTGCAGTCATCTCCCTCTTGAATGCCGGCTGTTTATCCTCCACCTCCTGACCCTCCAGCAACACCAGCTCCTCCTATGCTACTCATAGTCTATGCTTCACCACACCACAGGACGAGGTTACACAACACGGTCACACATAAGTGAGTAGGTTACATCAGACCTCCTGTTCACACGCTCTGATCAAAACAAATTCCGCTCACTGACGTTATCAAGATGGCTGCCCAGAGTGACTGTCGACTTGTGTTACTGATTGTTATTGTGTTGAAATGTATCGTTAATGTGTTGTGTTGCATTTCATTACTGTCGTAATTGTGGTGAATCGTTAATGTGAAACTCGTAAAAGTGAAGTACAGGGTATGTCCTGTATTAAAATTTTTGTTATTCATTTTGACCTGAATTGGTAAAACATCAAGCAGTGGTAAAATTTAAAGCTAACAATACATGTTGTTATAAGTTATTTTGATTTTTTCTATTCTAACATCCTCCTTTTAGTGGCTATCATAATAGTGCACACCAAGCCATAGTGTCAAGACCCAATAGACTCTTGACATTAGTGTCTGGGATTATCAGTAATCTTAAAATTGTCCATCCTTCCCCATTGCAAATTTGTCAAAAATGGAAGGCTATTAGTAAAAGTTGTCATTAAAAGCGGAAAATCTAAATAGAGTTCTGCCTACCTTAATAGGTATGCACTAAGCACTTCACCTGATTGCTACTGTTTTGAATTTCAGGCACAATTCTCCCTTCAATCACCAGCCACTACTATTCTTTCAATAAACTGTTTATTATTATTATTATTATTATTATTATTATTATTATTATTATTATTATTATTATTATTATTATTATTATTATTATTACTGTGTTCTTATTGCATCAAGGATATGTGTTTTTCCAACCTTTGATTCATTAAAACAAGATTAGTGCATTACTCTGATTTTTTAGCATTTTAGGTGTTACCTAAGTTAGCCTAAGTTAATTTGTTAGTTGAAGGGTTACATTTCCCAACTAAGACTGGGATTCCTTTTATTCACACCAAATCTCTTGTGACACAAAAAGAAATGTGAGGTAGATGCCATTTAGGTAGTAGGTTTGGGAGGCTCACTAGATGACCCTTGTTGGGTTTAGAAGATTTACATTCAGTATTCTGTTGAACCCCTGCTGATGGATGTTGTGTGCTCACTTTTGGTTTTTATATTCATAAGTAAAGTCTTCAAGAGGGTTGTTAATTACAGTAGTGTGGATGGGTTGGGTTAGCCAGTAATTGTCATTTATAGGGGCATCCTACAGACCCTGCTCCTATTATTTCCCTCATTGCTGAGGTACTCTCTCCATATCATGATACAGCTCAGTACTTTCGTCATGAAAGATAGTTCAAAGGCAGTTCATCCCAGAGGCTATATCTACTGTATGTGTTTGAAAGTGCTATCACCATCATCAATGTTTTATCGCCATTTTTTCACCCTCGAAAGTCCGAACCCTGAAAATCCCGATTTCGGATAGTCCAGATTCTTTCCGGGCAAGAAACATTTGTCCAAACCCATAAATATTTGTTATTTGAAATTCCCGCAGTGTGCGGTCATTTGAAATTATCGCCAGCGAGCAATCCCTTGGCCTCTTTCCTCCTCTCGGACCCGTGAGTGAGTGGTTTATTTCCCCACTCTTAGAATGACTTGGCCATAATGCTGCACTTTGAAGGGTTTGCTTTAAGTTCAATGCACATTCAGCCACAAAAATACAGTAAGTCCTCATTTAACATTACCCCCGACAACGTTTCATTATAACGTAGCTACTCTTTATTTACCAATAATTCGGTTAACGTCCCGACAACTCAATATACAGTGATCCCTCGGATAACGAAATTTTGGTTAACGAATTACCTTCCAAAAGAATATTCAATTCGGTTAACGAACAAAAATTCGGTTAACGAAATTTTTACGAAATCATGTCAACATGTTTTCGCTTGCTCACTAGCTAGAATATTAGTCTGCCAATACAGTAATCGGTTCTAGGGCTTAAATTCGTTCCCATTTGAGTAAATATCAAGAAGGTTGTACTATTCAATAATTTTCCAAGTTTTATATTAAAATTTTTAGTCATTTTAACACTTATTTAAAATAATTGCGGTACAGGAATCTAGTTTTTGGTGCGCCAATCAGCCACTTTACTCACCCAGCAAGGCGTCAGTTTGTATCTCTGGTCAGTGGAGGTAACATCTTCATTGTGGCTCTCTTGAGCATAAACTATTTTTGTTTTTACAGTACAATTATTGGTCATTCTGAAATTTATTTTACAAATTGACAATATATAGTGCAGTGCAGTGTTGATTTAAAGAAAATAATCTTGAATTACACCTAGTGAACTTAAAATTGTATGGGTGAAATGACGGCATGAAGCATGGGGTGATTTCTCTTCCACCCCCACTTCCTTCTCTTCTCCCTTCTCCTCCACCCCCACTTCTAATTCCCATCATCATCATCATCAACCAGGAGCCTTCTACATACACACCTCAAAGTAAGTGTACTTTACTGCATTTATTTTTACTTTGTATGTAATTTTTGGTAAGCTGGAACCAATTACCCAAAATCCCATTGAAACAATGGTTTCGGTTAACGAACGACCTTCTCGAACGAATTGTGTTCGTTAATCGAGGGACCACTGTAAAGTCGTTTTTAGCATCGTCAGTGACTACTTTTTACGGCACATCACCCTCTCATCTTTGCACGCTACCTCTCATTTGCGGAACGTCACAGCGTCACCAGTCTTTGTTAGGCTTCCACAGCGTTCGTGCGTGTTTAAGTGTTTTTTCTTTTAATACTGTACTATAACCATTCGAAATGGCTTCCAAGCATCCATCAAGTGCTACTGATGTTAGTGTTGTGAAGAAGCAACATAAGACCGCTAGCCTTGCTATGAAAATGGAGGTTTTAAGCCGTTTTGAAAAAGGGGAACGTGCAGTGGACATAGCTGCTGTACTAGGTCTAATCCCCACAACAATGTGTACTATCCAGACCAACACGGACAAGATTAAGGTTAGTGCTGGAAGTGGTACTTCTCTGAATGCAACAAAGACAAGTCATGCTCGAAATTCCGTTATTGAAAAGATGGAAAAGATGCTGGCTTTGTGGATGGAGGACCAGAATCAACGCAATGCCCCTGTGATCCTTATGGTTATCCAGCATAAAGCAAAATCCCTGTTTGACAGCTTAAAAGCAGTAGAGGGTGAAGGATCGAAGGAAGAGACTTTACGGCCAGCCGAGGAAGGTTTCAATGTTTTAAAGCACCGTTATATGTAACTCTCATAACATTAAGATGACTAGTGAAGCTGCTAGTTCAGATACGGTTGCTGCTGAGATATTCCCGCCTGAATTCAAAAACGTTATCGAGGAAGGAGGCTACTCAGCGAAGCAAGTCTTCAATTTGGATGAGACTGGTCTCTCTTGGAAGAGGATGCCAGAAAGAACTTATATCTCAAAGGAAGAAAAAAGAGCGCCAGGTTTTAAAACGGCAAAAGACCGCTTGACGCTGCTGCTTGGCGTGAACACTGCTGGCGACTTCAAGCTGAAGCCTATGCTAATTTCTCATGCTGCCAACCCACAGGCCCTGAAAGGTTACTGCAAGGATCATCTTCCTTTCATTTACAAGGCAAATAAGAAGGCATGGCTAACCGGCGCCATATTTAGCCAGTGGTTAACTGTATACACCATCCCTGCAATGAAGGAATACTGTGCCAAGGAGATCCTAGACTTCAAAATTGTTTTTGTCGTTGACAATGCTCCAGCTCATCCTCCCAATCTCGACAACTTAACATGACAGTTTAAAAATTGTATTCCTGCCTCCCAACACGACAGAACTGCTGCAGCCTGTGGACCAAGGCATCATCACTGCATTCGAGGCGTATTATTTACGCCGTACCATAGACCAGCTGCTCAAGGCTACAGACGTTGAAAATAAACCAATGATCCGAGAATATTGGCGCGGCTTCAACATTCTTCATGCAATTGACAACATTGGCAAGGCATGGAAAGAAGTT